ACACGACGTCCATGTGGCAGCTAAAAAAAAATCGATTTAAATCTACCGCGTCTGGCGCGTTGTCAAACATCGCGGATAAAAAATCTCTTTTTCGCACCGTTCGACAAGTAATACAAGTATAGGCTCGTTTGACTCGCGATCTCTACTTCGAATCGGATATATTAATAATCGGGGAAATCGAGAAAAAAGTCTTTTTTTTTTCATTTCCTCTACGTACGGCTAGCCCGCTACCATATTTATTCGCGCGCGTCTAACGCAACGCTCGTCGAAAACGGAATAATCGATCGACTTGTCTACAAATTTTACCTATTCGCGATCCTCTATAAACGCTCGCGAAACGTGCTCTACGTGTCCCCTTTGTCTCGCGTAGTTTCGTCCTCCGCGGACGATACTAGTAGATTCTCCCGCTCGGAATGGTCCGACGTCTAAAACGAAAGTCTTGCGCGCGCGCGCGCACGGTCCCGTTCTTTGGCGAACGTCGACGGATGGAAAGAACAAACAAAAAAAAAACGACGATTCGTTCGAACCTGTTGATCCAGTCCGTCGACAGACCCGGGAAGTGGAAAAGTTCGATCACGGCTCGTGGGAGAATGACAGCTGTGTCCCCTCGTAAGAAAGACGAAGAATCTCGATTGATGGCACGCGCGCTTGGCTTTCGTTGGCTAACGATATAAGATGACCACGCGGGAAAAGTCGAACGACGAGGATACACATTTATACGTTTGTGCTCGTGGTTTCTAGCGGAAGGGGCTGTCGAGGCGAAGGAAAAGATTCGTCAAGCCCGGTCGATGGGACCGACGCGAAAGATTGTTTCGTGGTTCGACTTGTCCCCGCGGCGGCGTTCGCCAAAAGACGAAGAAACGAGAAGCGCTCGTTGTTCCGTCGACGGAAGGAGAGAGCGATCATACGACGGGGTTAACCGAAATGCGTGAACGGCACCCAATTCGGGTATGTAAGCGGTGGCTGCTGTGGCAATGCGTGTGTCGTTGCGTGTGTGTGATAGTGTAAGCTACGGCCGGCTCCTGGTGGCATTACTGGAACGGCAATCGTCGACTGGGCTTGATGGGCCTGATGGCCGACTACGTCTACGAACTGGCCGCCGGTTGCCGCGGCTGGAATCGCAGCGGCGACGGCCGCTGCCGCACAGGCCTGCGCGGCGGCCGCGTGGCTTGTGACATAGTATGGATTGTGTGCAGGTGGCCTCACGCTGTTGTTGTTGTAGTTGTTGTAGTTGTTGTTGTTGTTGGAGAGTTGTAGCATTGGTGGTAGACGGTAGTTGTCGCAGTTGCGTTCGGTTGCAGTTCGTAGTCGGGTACCAAAGACACCACAAAACCAAAACCACAAAGAATTAGCCCAGAAAAAAAGGAACGTCGTTCGGTTGGGAAGGAGAAACTGAAAAATGTATCTTTCTCTCTCTCTCTCTCTCTCTCTCTCTCTCTCTCTCTCTCTCTCTCGGTTTGGTTTCTCTTTGTCGTTTCTTGAAACGGACGGAGGATATAGACCAGGGGGAGGGGGTCTCTGGACTGATTCATCGGCGTGTCGGGAATCGAACGATGGTAGAGCCCCACGGTAGTCGTCGACGAATCGGTTCCAAGAGAGCGGACAGAGAGGAGGACAACGGCGTTAAACGTGGCCCGTTCCGTTCGACCGAAAACGCTCTCAACACCGTTCTTTGGCAACGGCTATGGTGGCGGCGTTTCGCGATGGAACAGTTCACGGGGCTTCGTGTGAAATCCAACGATAATCGATTGGTCCCACCGGACACGATCGATCGGTTCCGTTTCGAGTCGGGTGGTCCTGTTACGTTCCTTTTTCTTGTGATTTCGAGAAAAAAATTCGGGGTTTCGTTTCTTTTTCTTTTATTTTTTTGTGCTGCTGCTGCTGTTGTTGTCGCAGTCCGTCGCGGTCCTCGTAACACGGGCGGGCGTCTTTCCCTGTATTCTTTATTAACGATTGGTCGACGATAAAGCGGAACAAGACGTCCGACTCACTCGTGTATCGTTTGATCTCGCCTTTGTTCGCCTCTTTTTGCGTTGTCCGCGGGGGAAATAAGTGAAGACGATCAGAGGACGGACACGGTGAGCGAGAGAAAGAGAGAGAGAGAGAGAGAGGGGGGGGTGGAGGGTGGAAGGGACGAAGGGGTAAGGGATCGAGGATTACAGAAACGATAAGCGCTAAAGCGATAAAAGCTCTCTGAAAGCCACCGCAGTACGATGCGCACTTTTCTCGTCGTTCTCTTGAAAACCGCGAACGGAAAAATTATCCCGCGAGAATGATCGCGTGCCAGAGACTTACGTCCATAAATTAATTTTTTCTCCCAGCATGTATGTAGACGGAAACAGAGACGGAAGGTTGGCAACGACAGATCTTTCTTCTGTTTTTTTTTTTCGCGCGCGCGTTCCAAAGGAAGTTAAAAGCCACTTGTTACCGTCGTCGCACAACTTCGGCACCCGGAGTGTTCTTTTTCCGCGTACCGTCCCGTAACGTCCCGTCGCGTCGTTTAACCGGATTATTCCGTCGGCAGAGAGAGATTCATCGGAAATATGTGCTGCAAACAATATAATAATCCAACTGAAACTTTTGCCACGCGGATCTTTCTTTTTGTTCTCGTCGTCGCTCGCGTTTCGCGTTACCCCCGGCCGGGCGAGACACGTTGTGAAATTTGCAAAAAAGAGAACGGGAAGCGAGGAAGCGGAGGCGCCTGCGCAAAACAATTTTGACGATCTTCGAGCTACGGATAAAACAAACGTGTGTACGAACTGAGACAAATCAACGGAAGAGAAAAGAAAAGAGACCAAATAAAAAAAAAATTGAGAAAAAAAATAGACTGTTACGGAAAACTAATGAAAAAAAAGTAGCTTTCATAAAAGAAAACTGATGAAACAGGTGCGAACGAGATTCAGTCCAGTATATAGATATATCTAATATATACATATGTATGTATATGTATATACATATTATATAGCCCGGTTCCAGTAATGCCAATCAGGTCGAGGTATTTTCACGACGCCTCGAGCGCATCGCGTGCATGACGAAAATCTGTCTCTGTCGGGTGGTATAGCCGAGCGCACACACATACAAGAGATCATATCGTGAAACGACATATATATCAAAGCCCAATGTGTCTAACAGCGTAATACGTGGAGAGCGCAGAGCGGTGTGAGCTTCGCAATAGTAATATATATTTAGCGAGAGAACGGAAAATACCTTTGGCTGTCGAGAGAAATTAATTTATGGACACGAAGTGTGAATAACGCGTGGCATGCGGCATGATTCGTGTCGAGAGATGATGGACGAACGATTCGATGGCTCGTGGGAGCTAGACGGCCCGAGGGATGATTCGTAGAACATCAAGAAATCATAGAAAACTCGCGGGGATCATCCATCCGCGTTGCTCGCCTGCCCGTCGTCTGTCCATCGAATCGTTCGCGCGATGAAGAGGCAACGACTTATCTTAATATTTTAGCACCGTTCGTACCACGTTAGTCCGTGATTGGAAACACGATTCTGGAATTGGAAACGTGTAGTTTTCCGCGCGACGGTTAGTATCAACCACGGTACGCGCGTGAGCAACGCGAGGAAAACAGATTAGCGGCGGCGGCGGGCGCGAGAAGAGACAGACCGCGCGCGGTATAGAGATAGAGATATTCTCGTCGGCGAGGATGAAGGATCAGAGACGTTTACCTGTTCTGGGCGATTTTCCTGAGCGTCTCCGGGCTTCGTATCAGCTTGTCCAGGGTCTGGGTAAGATTGGCGAACGTGGGACGATGGGTACGTTCCTTCTGCCAGCAGTCGAGCATCAGCTGGTAGATGGCCTCCGGACAGTCCATCGGCGCTGGAAGCCTGTATCCTTTCTCGATCGACTTGATCACGTCCTGATTCGACCAGTTCCAGTACGGTCTCTCACCGTAGGACATCACTTCCCAGCAGACGATGCCCATGCTCCACACGTCCGACGCGCTGGTGAACTTTCGGAACGCTATCGCCTCCGGTGCTGTCCATCGGACCGGAATCTTTCCACCCTTTGTGCCGGAGTAAACAGTCTTTTTCAAGATTCGATCGTTGAATGTCTCGGTTCGAGCAACGAGACCCGAGGTGGAGTCTCGTCGATCCGTGTAAACGAACGTAAAATGAAAGCGAGAATAAAAAGGAAAGGAAAAATACATTCCCATTCCGTAGTCGATTACTCACCCTGGTCGTGTACGCTCCTTCCGTGGCACTCTCTATCTCCCTGCTCAGCCCAAAGTCCGCGATCTTACAGACGAGGGCGGCGTTCACGAGCACGTTCCTCGCGGCCAGATCCCGATGGACATAGTTCATCTCCGCGAGGTACTGCATACCGCTCGCGATTCCGCGCAGCATGCCGACCAGTTGCAGCACCTGGAACTTGCCGTCGTTCGCGCGCAGGAACGTGTCCAGACTGCCGTTCTCCATGAACTCGGTGATGATCATCACCGGATTGCTTTTGGTCACGACCCCCTGCAGGAATATCACGTTCGGATGTTCGAACTGGCCCATGATCGACGCCTCGGTCAGGAAATCGTTCCGTGCCTTGTCCGCGGAACCTGGTTTCAGGGTCTTAATAGCCACGTCGATCTCCGTTCGACCGTCGGGCGGCAGTTTTAGCTTTCCTCGACACACGTCGCCGAACTCACCGCCACCTGAATCGAATACAGATAGATTTATGTACATATACGACGAGGAGAACGAAGGAGAGATACGGGAATGTTTCTCCGTGGGTCGAAATGAGAGGGAAAAAAAAATGCCACGCGCGTACCTATGATGGCCTCTATCGTGATGTATCCTGCGTCGATCTCGCGAGCGAATTCTCTGACGGCCTGGTTCGGATCCTCGTAGGTGTGAGGATCGACGTAACTCCTCGCGCCTGCACCACCGGCGCCTCCCGCACCTGCGGCGGCCACCCCCACTGCAGGTGTGAACAGCGGCGTGGTCACTGCAACGTCACCAAAACAGAGTTCATTATATTAACACGAGGGCCGGTGTGTTAAATTTTTACGGAATCTCTCGGGGGAGCTGTTTATATAATACGAGCAACACACTCGCTCCGTGCCTGACAATGATAACCGTTTCATCCCGTGAAAACACTCACACACCCTTCCTCTTTTGCAAAACGAGACTCGTTACCGCTCTCGAGAAGTAAAGTCTCCCAACGGAGACACAAAATAAGGAAAGCTAGAGCGCAATTTGAAGATTTATTTATCTAGAGCTCTCGAAGTCTCGTCTTTTGAAATTATTCTAGCGCGCGATAATCGATATACATATACATGTGCATATATACATATATCTTAAGTAAGTACCTTCGAACGTGTCGTACATTTTAAAAACTGTAACGACGACAACCCAAGGTCCGAGTAATAAACACAAAATTGTCTTCTAATCGCACTATGTGTGAAAAATTTACAAAAACCAAAATCGAAGGAAAAACTAAGACAAAAAAAAAACAGGTCAGTTTAAAGTTTCGCGCGCAATCAATTTTCATGCCAGCGCAGAGAAATTCTCGCTCATGCCTAATGCGTTAAACGATCCGATGCATCGGATTGAATGACGTTAGAGTCGTGTATAGCACAGCAACGGCAGCGCAGAGAGGATGCTCCGGTCGAATCGAATTACTTGCTAGGCCCGGTTAATTCACGTGTCCGCGAATGGATCTGCGACCGCCTAACCCGCCTCTCCACTCTATCTCTATCTCTCTGCACGAGACCGATTAATTCGAGTTCCACCGGAACATCCACAGCGTTTCCCCGCGTGCGCGCGTCTCGTTGTACGGAACGTGTATATGTACGTACGGGGGGACAGAGAGGTCACCGATCATCGTACCGAAAGATCGGCGACCGGCTGGACTAGAGAACGATGCGAGGGCAAAAACACGATGCAGAACGACAAACATAGAACGGACAGTAAGGAATCGGACATGCTTTATCTATCGTGCATCTTCTTCGTCTACGTGTAATTATTCGAAACGATCGAAGGACAGAGTGAGAGTGAAACGCCCCATAGACGATACGATTTGTCGTACAATTGATCATACAGCCTAGGTCACCTTCGACGAATTGTTGTGAACAATGTATTGTCGTAGACAATACGGTAGACTAAATATCTTTCGTCATAACCGTCTGTTCAACTTCCTGTTCGACTTGTCGTACGACAAATCGTATCGTCTACAGAGACTATCGTATCGTATAGTCTTTAGAGAGAGAAATAGAGAGATAGAGAGACAGAGGGAAAGGTAACAAGAGGAAAATATGTGTAAAGGGTTTGTATTCGATCGATCGAGAATCGACCTTGTTCTTTCATTTTTTTATTTTTTGTATTGGGACTGAGAGTGTGAGGACTTACGCGAGGACTTGCTCTTGTTGTTGGTGTGGGTTGTCACAATCGGTGAACTGTCCATTTTGCAGTGCACTGTGAACAACACAACAACCAACACACTAATTGACAAACAGCAAACAAAAAGAAGCGGTGGGTGTGTTCGATTATGAGTTCGATGACGCGAAGCGAGAAGGTGGCGACTGATTGGAGAATGTGAGGAAACGTGAGAAAAAAAAACAACAGACAACACACATACACGCACACGCGCAGAGCGAGGAGAAGATAGAAACGATCGCGTTCTGATTTCTCGTGTACCGCGAGAAGAAACGTGTCCGCGCGTACGGATAAAACACAAGCAAACAAAAAAAAAAAACAAAAAAAAACAAGAAACTAAACGACAACAGAAAATGGGACACGAAGACACAACGCACGTAAAGTGAAACAAGTGCAGTGACACAACGACGCACATACTTGACAACAGTACATATACAGTATATATATATACATACATATATACGCATGCACAACGATAATAAAGAGACACAGAGAGGTAACGTCGCAACGTAGGCAAGCACGCGAGACGCGAGCACGCACAGCTTTCGAGTAGGTTGCATTCCCCGCTCCTCGCTCGGAGCCAAAGGAGACGACAACGACGACGACGACGACAACGACAACGCGTTTGCTTTGCCCATTCTGTTCGATGGACGAGAAGCAGTGCCGGCGGTAAGAGCGGAAGCGAAAAGCGGTGCGTGCCCGTGCTTTGAAAATCTGGAACGCGATCCCGACAAAAGATGCATTGTACAAGGGGGTGCAGAAAAGTAACTACGAGCAAAACCGAGTTCCTAAAAAATAAAACTTGAGGTGTTGGAGAAGACTTACTGTAGGTCACAACTAGTCCTGTAGTAGCAGGCGATTGTGTACATTGTTTCATTGGGTTTTTTTCATGGATTTGTTCATGGAGGCAGGTTCGATAGATTAGGGGTAATCGCACATGAAAAGAAAGAATCGAAAGAATTCGGTTAGAATAATGTCGACATGGCTGCGGGCCGGATCTGGTGAAATGAATTTTGCTCGTGTAAAGCGATCGTCTCTCATTTTGCTTGTTAAATGTTCCGGGTACATACACGTGTGTGTCACCTCGGACTTCGACAACTTTCTTTTCGCACTTTCATTTGCTTTTTATCTTTTTCTTTTTTTCTCTTTAAACGAACCACTTTTCAGTAATCTTTCTTTCATCAAAGATATAGAGACCTCTACGACAAGTATAGTGGGTGTATTTCGACGACAAGACTTTTTTTTGGGGGGGGGGGTGGTTACTGTATACATGGGTTGTGAAGGGGGCTGAGCGGGGCTAGGGTGATACTTGCTGGGTCTAACGGGGTTTTGGTGGTTCAAAAAATATTAGTAACAAGACACGAGGGCGTAGTGAGACAACTATGAAAAATGACAGGGGGTGGGGGGTAGTAGCGATAATAAATTCACGAAGAAAAGAGTGTATCCGGCCTGTTGGCATCGGACAAACGTACCTTCGCCGTTTCTGTACTCCAAGGTGTCGCAGTCGCTCGGCTGTTTCTTGTTGCACTCGTCCGAGGCCCTGCTGCATCGAAATCATTACATCGCATCGGTAGAGTCGTGATAGATCGAGCCGCGTAAATAATAATAAAAAAAAAAAGAAGGACAAAAATAAGCGAGCCACTCGAGAGTGGCCGATCGTACCTTCTGAGAATCAGGACGGTCATGATGATGATGATCACCAGGAGAACGACCACGGCCACGATGGCTCCAGCTATGATCCTCACCTGCATGTTGTCGTCCTCGCCGACGTAGTCTGAAACGGAGACGGAGGAACGTTCGATTGTCAGAATGGAACACGGAAATCGAAGTCGAAAGAATTGAGCGAAGAACATCATCGAAGATTGTTACCTAGGCCCATTGCGTGTGGCGTCTTCTTGTACACCACGGGGGTGTATTCGCCCCAACCGCGAGTCGTCTTCGCCCGCACTTGAATCGCGTAGTCCGTGGATGGTTTCAGGCCTTTGAACGTCGCGGAAAGATCGGAGGTTTGGATGACGGTGGCGTTGGTAGCGTCGTCGTAGCGTGGATAGCATCTCACTGGGGAATGGAAAGACGAAACGTATATGTAAAGAGTGTTGTCAACGTCGCGTGGGTGGACGCGCGTTTGGAGATCGTCGTTTATCCGTCTCACCTTCGTATCTCTCGACCAGATCGCTGTCCCCGCCGACGTCGGTTATAGGAGCGTCCCAGCTGATGCTCAGCTCGGAACTCTTCACGCTGGTGATACGAACGTTGCTCACCAGGCTGGGCACGCTCGCCTCGGTGGTCACGGTGATGTCCACGTACTCGGATTTTCCCGCCAACGCCGACACGCCGTTCTCCGCGAACACTTGGAATCGATAGGTCGTCACCGCGTTCAGGCCCGTTATCGTGATCTTCGTGTCGTTGAAGACCTCCTGTTCGAATAAGTAATCAAGAGCCACGTTTTATCTATGCACGTCCGAGAGTGTTTTTCGTTGTACAGGAAGGAAACGAGAAAGCCAGAAAAATGAGGATTAGGACGACTTACGGTGCTGGGAATGTACTTTACGCCCATACTGCAGGCATCGCATACCACCCTATAGGTCGTATCGGCCCTACCGCCCAGCATATGCGGCGTATTCCACGAAAGGATCACGGTGGATTGGTCGACGAAGTTCACCGTTAAATTCTGCGGCGCCGAGGGCGGTTCTAGAAAACGAACCATAACGATTAACGGCTTGTCAGAACGTATTCATCCGTTTGGCAACAGGCTAACAATCGCGAGACGACGATGACCAAGATGACGACGATACTCACGTGTACATGGCATATTCCTGGGGTTGCATTCCGTGAATCCGTAATCGGAGGACTTGCTGTGCGTCGGGCAGAGTTCGCAGCTGTGCGATCCCGCCTCGTACTTGAACCGACCGATCGGACATTTGGTGCATTCCTGTTTCTCGACGTCGGCATGGTAACCGGGCTTGCAGTGGCACCCGCCGTTCGGCAGGTACCATTTCCCGTCCCCTTTGCAGAGGAAGGTCGGCTGCTCGATCACCACCGCGTTGTCCACGCATGTGCCGATTGTTTGCTCGATCAACGCGACCTCGCGACCCGTCGGCGTCGCCGGGAAATGGGCAAAGTTCACCGATATCTCCGGGCAACTGATATAATAGACTTTGATCGCCAGAATCGAGATGCAAGCGCCCTGATCGCGAAACGCAAAGTACACGCCCTTTTTCGTCACCGGTATCGACTTCACCTCGGTGTTTATCATCACCTCGGTGTTCGTGTTGAACCTTCCCTCGCCAGCGGCGATACGTCCTGCGAAAGAAAGATAAACAATCGTGATATACTTTTGTCTTGCCTGCTATAAACTCATCGAGATACAAGTTGTATCATACAACCAGTTCCGACGATACGGTGTTTTCGACCGATTCGGTAATTTTGCCGAATCGATAATAAAGCAGCTCATATCATATGATTCCGTATTTAGACAAAAATTCCATTTTAACACGCGTATGCTTACTTTCTCTGTTTGTACGCGTGAATGCTGCTTTTGGATATTACCGAATCGGTTAAAAAACCCTATCGTCTGAAACGGTTTCGACGAGACACGACGAACTTTGTCGAAGGCTTACCGATCAACTTGTAACTGTCGGTCTCCCAAGGCGGTGGCTCCTTGGTGGCAGCGTCGAACTCGTAGTAAAGTAGACTGAACGTTTCTTTGCAGCTGCGCGCGGTTCCGGGGAACAACGAGCAATCACGGATCGTGAATTTGATTTCTACGTACATGCGGTTCGCCGGTCCCCTCTCGATGAACGGCGTCCACAGCCAATTGTTCACGTTATTGTGCGCTACGTCGCAGACAACGTAGCTCCGCCAATTGATGCCCTTGTCGAAGTTCGTGAACGACTCTTCCACCCACTGTAATCAAGCCAGAACACGGGACGATCTTAATTTGGTGCGATACCAACGGGGCTGCTTTTCGCCCGCCCTGCTCGCCCGCCCGCGAACGGCTGACCACGTTTAACTTAACGCTAGCGCGCGCCACCGAATCAACCGCGATAAGATAAACGGAGTTTAAATAACGCGGGACGCCCCCCCCCCCAACGTGGATCCCCTTCTGGGACCCTTGGAGAGCACCGTTCGCTGTTTGCGTTCGGATTACGCGAGATTCCATCGAGTCAGCATCTACGAAATCAGCTTTTCTCGAACCCCTCGTCCGCGAGTTTCCCTCCTCCACCTCTTTACTCCTACTCTCGCAAGTTCTTCCGCTCCACGCTTCAAGGTCTTCCTATTGATTTCAGCTCTTCCCTCCCATCCCTCTTCCTTGATGATATTTACAGAAACAACGAAGACGGATTACCGTCACCGGATTTCGAACTTCCATGGAATTCGAAGACGAGAGGAGGCGTTCGTTGAAACGATTTATACGAACAGGGGGATGGGTGGACCGGGATAGAGACGGTTTTCGATCTCTATCGGGTCGACCGCTAGAGATCGGGACGGAGTCCAGGAATAACCGAGGACCAGGAGGGAGAGAAAGAAAGAGAGAGAGAGAGAGAGCGGCACGAAGGGTCCATCGTGGGCATGGTTCGTGTCCGATCCGGGGAACCACTTGTCCGTCGACGTTGGACGCAGTGGTATCCTCCCCCGGCAAATGACGAGGCGGAGAGGCCAGGTCGTCGACTTGCGACAAACAGACCGCAAGGAATTACCGGCGCGCGTTACCATTAGTTTTATTGCCCCCCTCGAGCTCGGGCTCGTCCCGAGAGAGACCGCAAAAAGTTCCGACTCGAGCAAGAAGGAGGACCCGTTCGTCGTCATCGTCCTCGTCGTCCTCGTCGTCCTCGTCGTCGTCGTCGTCGTCCTCCCCGCTCGTCGACAGACTCCTCTCTCTCTCTCTCCTTCTCTTCGTCCTCGATCCCTATTCTCTTTCTCTTTAGATATACACCGCGGACGAAAGGATGGGCCCTACGTAGGTAAGAACGCGCAAAAAGCCGGGGTAGATCGAGAAGAGCAGGCTTCTTACCCAGAAGATCTTCTTGCGGACGTGTTTCCGGCAGGGAGGCCGCAATAAATTCAACCGTACGGTTACTCGGTAGCACAAAGAGATTATTACAGAGAGAAAAGATGACGAGGTGGACGAGAAAAAACGAGCTCGTCTCGGTAGACGGAGAGAGAGAAAACTCTCGCTCTCGTCGACGTTCAACGATCGGAAAAATCGAGACAAATCGTACGACGTTAATTACCGTGCTTCGGTAGTGCAAGTCGATTGCAATTACCGACGTGACCAGGGGACGGAAGGGACCCGAGCTCTCTCTCTCTCTCTCTCCCTCTCTCTCTCCAGCTCGCTGGAACACCACGGCTATATATCTTTCCTTCGCCACAGAATCGTAAGAGACGGAGTGGAAGGCGTCGCGGTAATACCGCGCCGTGCAAAAACTATTAGAGGAACGAAGAAAAGTCCTAGAGATGTTATTTCGACGCCTCCGCTGCTGGTTCTTTCCCTCGGTGTCTTTTCCTTATCCCTCTCTCTTTCTCTCTTCGTTTCCCTCTTTCCTCGCCCTGCGTTTTTACTTCATTCTTTCACGGAGAGTCTCCTCCCGAGTTGCCGCGAAGCGAAAAGAAAAAAAGACAGAGTACACGCGTCGTTAACGCCGCGGAATTTAATTGGATCTCCGCCGAGACGTCCACTTTTAACGTGTCCGCGCGTCGATTTTTCGATGAGTCGGATTTCCCAGTGGCGCAACCCTCCTCGTGAAATTATTTATTAGTAGCGGGAACAATGAAACGAGGGAAAAAACACAAAAAAACAACGGGCGGACAACGAAAAAAGAGAGACAGACGGATCCTGAAATGTGGCCACACGAATCGATCCTAGCAGCATTCCCCTCCTCGAGTTCGTTAGCAAAGAACGTGAAATATTGCAATCAAATTATAGGTATACAAGTATATCGTTAACCCACTACTCGACGGCAGAACGTACCACCGTGTTTCTTTTATTCGAGTATGTCTGTGTATGTGTACCAGCGTGCCTACGTATCGACGCCGAGGTGCTCTTGCTCTTTCCAGCAAAGCTAGAGATTTTAAATGAAATTAATTACACAGACGGTTAACGTGTTTCGCGCCTCGGGTTCGTTAGCGTGCCGCATGCGAGATTAGCACGAGGCGCGGGCAATTTCGCTTTTTATCGCGTGAAACGCCAAATTCGCCGGATTTCGGCACGGTGTTCTACCAATTAGCCGCGGCGGCAATCGATCGATCGTCGCGACGAAACGCGTGCGCCGACTTGGATCGGCTCGTTTCGCCACACACACGCGTGAATCCATTAAGCTGCCGGTCGATTCGTGGAGCCTGTACATTCGAAATCGGCCCGAGATAATAGGACGTATACAGTGGCCGGAATGATCGCGATGCAAGCAAATCGAGGGGCAAGAGCGAATTCGGTCGGAGCGCGGCACCAAGAAAAAATATTATATTTCCGCTCGATGCACAGTGTTGTATTTTCCAAATCCAGCTAAATTCAAAAAAGGGTCGATGTACATATTTTTTGGTTTATATCGAATCTTAAGGAGATCAGAATTATAAAAATGAACTTTTATATAATGGACAGAAAAATACAATAGCACATGTGTCAATAATTGTAAACAGGAATCGAAAATTTGGAGCGCATGGTAATATTAATTTTTTTTGGTGATTTACAGACATTGACTGAAGATGTGAAATAAGGCAATTCTGTTGAAATTATATGCCTCTGACAGCCCATCTGCCAAATTTTAATTGTATCACCGTTCAACATGTACAAATATTGCAACCTTAGGCGCCTCTTATAGATCCTCATGAGCTGAATACGGATCTGCAACTTTTTGTGGTGAAACCTATCAGTGGTGCTGCATGAAATTAGTTCAGCCAGATTGATAAAATACCACGGTGTGCGACGTCGCGTTTAATTGCCTCCCCCTATAACACCGTCACCGCGGTATTTCTCCCCCTTCGTCCCGCAGAGTCCTCGACAAAGCTGCGGGGAAAAATAACGATCTTTCGTGTCGGTCGACCGATTATTAATTCGCTCGGAAATTATGTCGAGCTCGAGCGACTCTCGATGGCTTGTCGAGGAGCTCGATGTTATCCGCGTCGTTGGTCTTCCCGATTTTCAATCGGAATCCCGTGTAACGTTCGCCGGGTTCGCGGAAGCGCGACGTGTACGCGAACCAAGAAGAAAAAAAACCGAGATAGAAATTATAAGAATACCGGAGAGGAACGTTGACCCGGACAAAAGAATCTTCGATGAATAGGGGGAAAAAAATGTCGCGTTCCGCGGTGGTTATCCGAACGCCCGGTGATGGATTCCGCGGTCTTGTTCCCGGAAAACGATGAAATTCAGTCCACGGCAATAAACTGTAACGCGTTACACGAACGAGAGAGGCATTAAGCTATCGATTTGTCGGGCGAACACGAGCATCTCAGGCCGCAGACCGGGTAGACGAGAAAGTCTCGTCGAACCGTTCGCTCGTTCGGTTCCGCCGTTTTCTATTTCCTTCGCGGATCAGCCGTGTGCCGGTAAATAGATATGAACTGCCGGTTTCGAAATAAAGCCAATAAGCTCCGTGGCGAGGAAGAAGCGAGCCAACGACTGGTATCGCGAACCGATGGACGAGGATCGCCGAAACGAAGACGAGAAAGAGAGAGACCAGAATATCTCTCCATCTTTTCTTTCCTTCCTTGACTCGTGGAGCTCTCTCTCTCTCTTTCTCCCCTGTTCGCCCTCGCTAGCCGTAATATTGCCACCATAATCGCAATTCCGATGGTGTAGCCTCGGTCGTGGAGGGTGGAGGGACGGTTTGTGGGAAGACTTAGGGGGTTACGCGGGGTGGACGAACTTTCAGTCTAGCGGAGGGTTCGCGGATCTTAATATATATTGAGCTCTCGTGCCCGACCACCCCTGTCGGCCTTGGGGTTAGCTGCAACGGGGCCGCTTGTACAGCTTGTGTTCCCTATGCTCGAGGTACGTACACATATACATACATATACACGTACGTGCATCACGTTCTACCGTACGTTCCACGTATAAACTTCGGGTCAGTGGTAGCTCTCTAGTACCCGATCGGCGGAATCGCGAAAGTTAAATTAACTCCGGGGGCAAGCGCGATGCGAGCCAAAGGAGAATTCGATCGATCGATCGAGAGAGAGAGAGAGAGAGAGAGAGAGAGAGAGAGAGAGAGAGAATTCCGCGGCTGGTTCGACTTTGTGAAATCTTTTTTCTTTGCGCGCGGAGAACGGAGTCGACGACTCTCCGAGCGCCACTTTGCAGTCGATATTACCTTGCCCGCCGATGATCGTTATACAGGGGCCGAGGCGGCCCTGTTTACCCGGAACGATGATCCCTGAATCGACGTTATTCAGACTTTTTAGCTTTGCATCCGATGCTGCTCTCGGTGATCGGACTCTACCTTCCCGGATCGTCGAGATCCCGTAACGACGGGCTATTTCTTCTCCGCGTGGCGATCGTTTACTCGCACGGGGGCCATGGTATATGTATAGGGTACCTATCCGCCTAAAACGAAGACGGAACGAGATTGGACAGATAAGGTTGTATACGAGACGACGACGACGACGAGGACGTTCCGTGTATCCGAGTGGATTAGCCAGGAAATATTAGATGGCGACGGAGAACAGAGGGTGAGACGAATCGTTTCTTCGGAAGAAAGCCGTAGATGTTCGTCGTCGCGTGGATGAGGGCAGGGGCGAACGTTCCGAACAAGTGCGCATATGTGTGTCCGAAACGAGAGTCGACGGCACCCCACCCCCCGTCGGGCGATATAAGGGTGGTTATATACGGAGGGCGCCAATCGCAAACGCCGACTGCCGGCTCGTTTTATTCGGCACCCCTAGACCGATACACCGACGCCTCCAACCCGATG